TTGTTTAAATGCTTGTTTTTGATTCTTTTTACATATTTAATTAGGGTGATAAGGGTCAAGGGCTACAGGAAGGTGGGTGAGACCATTATTATTCCTGGTTTCTTAATACCCGTCTGGAATCACTGAACTTGACACCTCTTTCAGACATTGTAGGACTTTCTTCAGGGCCTATTTCACACAAAACGGTAGAAAGATGCACAAGCCTTTTCACTGCATTCCAAATACTTTCCTGGGGCCCAGCTCAGTGGCTAAATCCTCGCCTTGTATGCACCAGGATCCAATATGGGTGTTCCATCGAGTCCCAGGTGCTCCTCTCCCCATCCAGCTCCCTGCTTCTGACCTACAAAAGCAGTGGAGAATGGCCCAAAGCCCTGGAACGCTGCACTGGTGTCGGAGACCTGAAAGAAACTCCTTATTCCTGGCTTTGTATCAGCTCATCGGCTCAGGACCGGTCATTGCAGCCACTTGGGAGTGAACAGTGGATGGAAAAAGTCTTTCTGTCTCTCCTTCTCTCTGTATATCAGCCTTTCCAATAAATAAATAAATAAAATTTAAACAAAAATACTTCCCTTTCCAATCTCTGTTTTGATCCATGGCTATTTAGAAATGTGTTATTTGAGTTCCAATATACTTAGAGATTTTTTTCAGAGCGCTTTCAGTTCCTGGCTTCTAGCCCGATTCCACGGTAGCCAGAACACATAGCCCTACATGAGTTGAATCCCTTTAAATTCACTGAGACTTGCTTCACAGCTTGGAACACGGTTTCTGGAAGAATACCCTCATGCAACTGAGAGGAACATGTATGTTCCAATGTTGCACACAGGTTTCTAGGAATGTCAACCAGATTCTAATGTTCACACTCTGTATGCCTTCTGATCTCCCACTTACTTAGTTCATCCATCTATTTGCCCTTGCAGTGCTTCAATGTTTTTTTTTAAAGGTGTTTATTTGAAAGGCAGAGCCACAAGAGAGAGAATGAACTAGTGAGAGAGAGAGAGGGAGAGTGAGAGCAAGAGAATATCTTCTATTTGCTCACTCCTCAAATTCCTGCAAGGGCAGTGCCTGGGCCAGGCCAAAGCCAGGAGGAACTCTACCCAGGTCTCCCACATACCCAGGTCATTGTGTGCAGCCCTCTGCCTGACCTCCCCCCAGCAGACACATCAGCAGGAAACTGGATCAGAAGTGGAAAAGCCAAGACTTAAACCATTCACTCTGACAGGGAATGCAGGCATTCTAATGAGCAGCGTAACCCAGTGCCCCATAAGGGCCATTCCTGAAGTGGTATAATTTATAATGATTCATTCTGTACTGGAACTACATCTAAGGACTTACAGGAAAATACAAAACCACAGAATTGGCTAACTTGGTGACTAATCTTCATGGGCCCAGAATGGGACAGACCTAACACTCTCCTCTTCTTATCTCAGCCGTCTTCCACCTTCACCCTGACAACCACTCACCTGTGACTGCTTCCATAGTTTTGCCTTTTCCACAAGGTCATGTGGTTGCAATCACACTGTACTTAGCTTTTTTGTATTGAGCTTTCAAAAAAAATGTATACACCCATAGTAACTCTATATGTTTATAAGGTAGAGTATAAAAACATGTATATAATGTGTGGTGAAAAAAATCAGGATAAGATAGGTGTCATTCCAAACATCTGGCATTGCTTGGGCTGGGAACATTTACCATCTTCTCTTCTGGCTGCCTTGCAAAACACCATAGGTGATGCTAACAAGGGTCACCCAGCTGTGCTATGGAAAAACAGGACTTAGCCTTCCTCCCTCATGGCATTTGTCCCCCTTAACCAAGCCTTCTCTATCCTTCAACACAGAACATTAAGAAATACCTTTACAACAGAACCATCTGAAGGATGGCGTGTCACCAGCCCCGTGATGCAGTGAGGCCTGATCACTGCGCCGGAGTCAGCAAACTCAGCCACCTGTGCAATTTCTGTGCCAAATAGCAGCAGCAACGCATGACTGAAAGGGCATGGCCGACAAAACAAGTGGCAGGTCAGAATGGACCAGTGGCCGTCATGCGTCAACCCCTAACCTATGCGGTGAACTTGGCAGATAGTCCACTGCATCTAGAATGATGGTGAGAGAACAATTTCCCCCTGCCCCCTTTTTTTCCCGTTAGAAAGTCTATACAGGGCCCAGCAGCATGGCCTAACGGCTAAAGTCCTCACCTTGAATGCGCCGGGATCCCATATGGGCGCCGGTTCTAATCCCGGCAGCTCCACTTCTCATCCAGCTCCCTGCCTGTGGCCCAGGAAAGCAGTCAAGAACAGCACAAAGCTTTGGGACCCTGCACCTGTGCCGGAGACCTGGAGGAGGTTCTAGGTCCCTGGCTTTGGACCGGCACAGCACCAGCTGTTGCACTCACTTGGGGAGTGAATCATCGGATGGAAGATCTTCCTCTCTGTCTGTGACAATGGTAAGAGAAAGAACAGTATGAAAGGAAAGAAGGCCTCTAGAATAACCCCAGGAGATGTTCGTGGCAATGGCCCTCTCTGTCTGGATGGAATGCACTATGCCGCGTTGTTGGGCCAACCTCCTCACTTTCAGTACTCCAAACACTCACAGTCAAATGAGCTACACTCAAAGACTGAGACGGAGTGAATCTTCTCATTTCGGAGCAGAAGCAAGCAATACAGAAGAATGAAGAATGGAAAGGTGATTTAGTGAGTTTTTTTAAAGAGCATAGATCTTGTAGTCTAACTGCCCGGACTTGGTTTGCTGTGCTTGCTTTTGTTTAGCCACGTAACCAGAGGACAGTTTCTTAAGTCTCTCTGTTCCCTAGTTTCTTTATCTGCAAAATGGGGTCAGGAATGGTTATTCATCTGGAAGGCTGCCATAAGGCAAGATAAACCAGGTACAGTTCTTAGCACAGTACCTGAAACACAGTGATGTTACCTCTGCCATTATGATTATTATCTCAAAAAGAAGCCCTCACTATCAAGCTAACTTGTCTCTGTTGGGGACATGAGCCATCAAGGCAGGTGCATGCCCTCCATCAGGGGGCAATCACATGACAAAAGAGGGGTCTGGACACAACTCAAAAGAAATCTGCTCCCCAAAAGTTCACCTTTTAATGGGCAGGACACACATCCCCTCATGGACAAGGGAAGCAAGCTGTGCTATTACTTTGGGGAGAGATGGGAGCAGGCCTGAGGACCCAGGCACCCAGGAGGCAGCTCGTGGGACCTGGCAGAGAACACAGTGAGCCTGGGAAAAAGACATCTAAGGCTGGGACTCTGGCAGCTGGAAGATTCTGTCCTGTTATCAAGGACTCTCAGAAGAATGACAGCACTTGCTGTACCTACAAGAAACACTGTAACCCCTCAAACACAGAAAGGTGGTGAAGTAGAAACTGGAGGGCACTGACCTCCTACTCTGAAACCTGAACACACTAGAGTAAGATATTCTTAGAAGCAGGACACTCTGTGGTTGATATTGTGGGGACCAGAACAGGTCACCCCAAAAGATGCCTCCATGGTGTACAGACTGTCTGGGGGGATGCAGAGAGGATGCGGAGAGCTCTCTGCCCTCCTTCTGTAAGCTGAAAAGCAGGACAGGGATCTGTAAAGACGAAAGCTGCCTTGTCTCCCCTCTTTTGCAGAGAAAACGAGAGATCCACTGCGGTCTCACAGCCACCAGACACTCAATGTCCTTTGTCTTTTATCTAAAAAGTCAGCATTGTTTGTTGAAGATGCTTTAGGAACGGGAATTCAAAGCCACTTCTTAGAGCAGTTACCCATCCCCTGGTGTCTCCCTTGTGGAGAATATGCATGCTAATAAACTTGATTATTTTCCTCTTTAAATACAAGTTAACAAACTTGTTTTATTTCTCTTGCTAGCCTTTCCTGATAAGACGAAGGCAAGAAAAAAAATTTTTTCTTCCATCCCCACAAGATTCTCTGAGTATTGGGACCGGTGTGCCAAGATCCCATAGGCGTGCCGGTTCACGTCCCAGCTGATCCACTTCTCATCCAGCTCCCTACTTGTGGCCGGGGAAAGCAATAGAGGACAGCCCAAAGCCTCAGGACCCTGCACCTGTGTAGGAGACCAGGAGAAGCTTCTGTCTCCTGGCTTCAGATCAGCTTAGCTTTGGTTGTTGTGGCCACTTGGGGAGTGAACTAGCAAACAAAAGATCTTTCTCTATTTCCTTCTCTCTGTATATCTCCCTTTCCAACAAATATATCTTTTTTTTACAAAAAAAAAAAAATTCTCAGCACTGACAACTTCTTTAGTTATTTACTTACTTACTTATTTTTTACTAAGTCTATGCATTCTTTTCTGGCTGTTCCTTAGTCACATGGCCCCCATCTCTCAGCCAGTTCTCAGTTCCAATACAAGATTCTTCACAAAAGAATTTTTATACTGCTTGGTAATAAAGCAACAGTGCTGGCACAAGCTCCCACTCTCTGCCTTCCTCAGAACACAGATTCTGAGCTAGCTAGACTCAGGTCTCCTGAACGGCAATTCCAAAGGTCCCAAATAGTCCTTTCCCTTCTTGCTGTCTCTAGTTTGAACTGAGCAATGCTATTCAATGAGAAACCCCAGGGGATGCTCCTGGAGGCCTGGGACAGAAACACACCTGGCACTTGACTTGGAGTCCAGATGAGTATCTTTCAAAAACTATTATCTGTAACATTTGTAAGAGATGATGATGATTGGGATAGGCCCTTGACTTAGAGGCTGAGACCCTGCCTGGAGTGCCAGCAGCCCATACTGAAGTGCCTGGGTTCAAGCCCCCACTCTGCTCATGCAGCTGGGCCCCTGCCAATGTGGAAGGTTCCGGAGTGAGTTCCCAGCTCCTGCTTTGGCTGTGGCTGAGCCTGGCCATTCCAGCCATTTGAGGAAAAAGAGAAAAACACTACATGGGAGAGTTTGCTCATTTTCCTTCTCAAATAAATATATTTTTTGAAAGTTGATGTTTATTAATGTCATAGTCAACTTTTTAATACTAATAAACCCAAATGTAACATTGCCTACCTTGCTTTAGGAATACTATAAATTCCTTTACAGTTTGGTCCAAGTTAACCCCATGATACACAACAGGTCTGAAGTTGCGGTGTTCAAATGAACGAATGAGACGGACTGTGATGGTCACTTCTTCTGGAGCCATGTGGAGAAGTCCCTGCAGCAGAAGATGCAAAAACCTGTCTAAATGAGATCATCCCACAATTGTCTACGGGGACCTAGGCCATATTCTGCCCTCAGCTTTCTGCATACTTGCCTTCCCCTCCATGCTATATGACTACCAACAGAACACCCAAGTGGATACTGGGTTCCAGGGCACCCAAAAAGGGACCAAGATTGTGCCTGTCCACTCAGGGATCCTGGATAGTACTGTGAAGGTCTCAGAGGTATGAGTGGTAGAAGGCTTACTTGGCACAGAGGTGCCTCGAGGGCAAGACATGTGGACTAGGAGTGGACTAGGCTTGGCTGGGTGGTAGCACTCAACACTAAGAACCAGAACGGATGAGGATCAATTAGGAAAGGCTACTGTTCCTGCTAGAACAGAGGTGGACTAAGCAGGGCTGGCGTATGAACCCATTTGTGACGCGAGATCTGGCACTAGGAGAGGTTTTGATGGGGGAGCTTGGGAAACTCCTCTGTTGGGACACAGTTCCTGCAGGTGAGTGCAAGAACCAAGAAAGGGGGTAGCCCAGAATAGGCCAGGTAATGGTACCTACAGGCTTACCTTTGGCTCAGGTCTGGAGCAAGACAGGCTGGGCCAGTTCATATCACCCACTGGCAATTCTGAGAAACAGAATGATGTGTGGGTCATGCTGGGTTGGGCCACAATACCAGCCAGTCCACATTAGGGCCAGGACTGGGGACTGTCTTGACTGGCTGAGCTTTTTTCCCCACCAGCATGAGCTGGAACTGGGGAGGGACCAGACTGGGCCAGACTACAGCACCTACTGGCAAATGCAGAGGTGAGGCAGGCCATACCAGACTGCGCCAGAGCACACAACCAGCACACGTGAGACCTAGGGGAGAGCAGGCTAACCCGTTAGAGGGCTGCAGGGAGCTCCCCTGATGGGCTACTATTCCCACTGGTGAGCGTAAGAGCTTTGGATTGGGGGCAGTCCAGGTCGGGCAGGGTTATAACACCTGTTGGCCTGCATTTAAGCTAAATCAAGGACAAACTAGGCTAGGCAGACTGTACATACTAGTACATGCAGAAGTCAAAGTGTGTGGGGGTTGATTGGGCTTTGCCGTAGCATCAGCTGCCAGATGCAAGTAGGGGGAAATTTTGTCAAGCTCAACTACAGTATCACCTAGACAGTGCAAGATTCGGGAGTGGGAATGAGCCCATGAAGAGAATAGTGGGCACCTCCCTCGTGGATTGCCATTCCCACTGGTGAACCCAAGAACCAGGTCTAGGGACAGGCATGGTCAGATAGAGAATGGTACCTGCCGATACATGTGTGGGCTGGATAGTGGGGTTGGTTGGGTTGAACACTGACATATATGAGAGCTGAATGGGATGTGGGACAGACCAGACCAGTGGCAAGCACAGGAATCAGGGTAGAGGGTAGGCGCAGTGGCACTTATTGCGGGTCGCTCCCACTAGGCTACAATTCCCACTAGTTTGTGTGGAGGCTGAGTTTGCGGTGGTCAGGATTGGGCTGGACTACAATACCCATTCATTTGCATAGAGGTCAATGCTGGAAACAACTGACCCAGCAATTACAACTATCAGTGCGCATATAGGCTGATTTGGGCAATGGACTGTGCCAGACCCTGTATTGACAAGCACACACAAGAACCAAGTCTGGGATCACCTCACATAAGGTGTCTTTGGGAATCCCCCCAGTTGAATCACTGGACTCAGAACCTCAACCATGGAGAGAATTGCAGGTTCCAAGGCCTGACCGTGGAGTGCATGTGTCAGACCTGGGCCTCCTCAGTGGCTTAGTTGAAGCAGTGGACAACATATTAGGAAGCACATGGAAGAAATGGCAGTACATTGGAGCCTGCAGAGGATACCTGGTACCATAACAAAAGATGGAGGACAGAACAAGTCAATCAACTACCCCAGCCAAGACTTGGCAGTGAATACCTAGGCAAGTAGAGTCTCTAAGGTGGGCTATGTCAGCCAGGACTCTGGAGAGATTTCATTGTGATTGGAGTGGCAAGATCAGCAACAATACAGAACTGCTGAACTATCAAAATCACTTGAGCAGGACCCTTGGAGCATGCCCCACACTGGGGACCCTGGGATGGCTGGGAGGCTGTGTGTGGCTTCTCCCCTTATTTCTCCCCTCCCCCCAGATACAGGAAGGAAAGAAGAGAATGTGAAAACAATGGTCTCACCCACTTTCCTCTAGCCCTTGATCCTTTACACCCTAATCAAATATGCAAATATTATCAAGATTAAAATATATACAACAAAAAATTTAACTCAACACCCATACTTTGTAATATGTTATAAAAATAATTCCAAAGTTATCTTTTCAGAAAAAAAAATCTGCAAAGTTTCTAAATGTGTTAAAGACACAAGTCTGGTACGATTCTATTTAGTAGTAGCCATTCCAATGCTATTTCCAACTTGGCACGTAACTGCTAACCATGTTATACAGTAACAGTCAGTCCTCGTTACCCCGGGGGACTTGATGGCAGCATCTCCCACAGGTGCCAAAATCCATGATGCTCCAGGCTCTTTATGAAAAGGCACAGTGCTTGCACAGCCTCGCCTAGCTTCACTGTATTTTTTTTTAAAACAGCACATCAAAAATTCCTTGTACTGCAATTTACACATTTGAACCCCAGAATACTTAATTCTGTGCCCTAATTATCAGGCTGAACCAAAACAGACAAAGTTTTCTCTACATTCCTTTCCCACAAGTTACTGTGCATGTCAGTTCTTGGTGATGGATTTCATGCCATTGACTTCAGTTACTAAGATACACGGGAATACTTGAAACTTTCTGCAGCTTCTTCTCTGGGTCAAATTAAAAAGCACTGAAGGAGAGGGAGGTCGTTCAGATACCTTCCAACGACAGATTTCATAAAAATTACTACTGTCACTGCAGGAGGGAGAGGCATCACAACTCATCTCCTCAGTTCCCACAATGATCAGCATGTAAGTCTATCTTAGCATAGAAGAGTTTTCTCTATCTTCTACATGAAATTACAAGAACAGTGTGCAAATAAGGTGTATGCTTAACCTCGCCCTCTGATAATCCGCTTGCATACTAGCATTCTCAGAAGGGTTCCAGCCACAATACAAGCAGGAACTGTATCAACAGCCACACTGTTCCTGACTCACTCTGATCCCCGTTAAGACCCTGGGCCTGGTGCAATGCCTCAATTGGCTAATCCTCCCTCTTCATGCACTGGGATCCTATAAGGGCACTGGATTGCGTCCCAGATGCTACACTTCCCACCCAGTTCCCTAGTTATAGCATGGGAAAGCAGTGGAAGATGGTCCAAAGCCTTGGACCTTGCACCTGCCTGGGAGATCTGGAAGAAGTTCATGGCTCCTGGCATTGGCCATTGTGGTTACCTGAGGAGTATACCAGCAGATGGAAGATCTTTCTCTCTGTCTCTCCTCTCTGCAACTCAGCCTTTCCAACAAAAATAAATACATCTTGAAAAACAAAATCACTCCTTGTGCTCTTGTTTAAGCTCAGAGTATCTGCTCCTGAAGAGGTATCTCAGCTGTACCAGTCTTTCTCTCCATTTAGAGAACAATGTCCTCACTTATGTCTTTCTTCCAGCTGTTGTGGTGTACCTTCCAGTTCAGGAGAAGGGAATATGTTGGCAGGAGTAAGAGTCCAGTTACCAAGGTCCTGGATGAAATAAAAGGCTGAATCCTGAGAACTTCCAAAAGTGGACATGTAGAAAGATTCTGGGTCAAGGCTGGGTTAAGCACTTGTGGTGAGTCCTTAGTAGCCTACTTACAGCTCTTACCTGTTTGGGTATCAGGGAAAAGAGATCTAGACTCTCCAGTTACTCTAAGGTCACCTGAAAAGAAAGATAAATCACCCAGAAAGACCCTGAAAACCCAGTCTCCAAAACATACGGGTAAAATGAACCGACCTAGAGCCAAGTTTAAATCATTTATAATTCCTAATACAGTATAAATGCTATGCAACTTGTTGATAAACTATATGTTTAGGAAATAATAGCAAGTAGAAAAAGTCTACATATATGTATGGATGAGAGTCTCTCTATGGTATTTTCCTGTTTAGTTGAGTCCAGGGCTGCTGAACCCAAGATGCAGGACTAATGCATATGGAGGATCTACCGTAATTCTGAAAAGCCACATGGGATGCTACTAAGTGTAAGGAAAGACAACTACCAAACTACCCTTGTTAGGAACCACAGAAACTCAAAATAACAATGAGATCTCTTATTCATCATATTGACAAAGTCTGATGATATCTGATATTGACAGGGCACAGTACAAGGACCCAGTCAGTGCAATGAGTACCCAAATGGGTACTCTACTTTCAGAGACAATCAGGTAATACACACATACCTTTCAATCCAGCATTTCTTTCATCAGTAGGTACCCTTGGGTATCTCTCACATATGTGTACAAGGACAACTGCAAAAGAACATTAATAGAGTTCATTTAATACACATGCAAAAAAAAAAAAACCTAGAAACAACCAACTGCTTATCAACAAGAAATGAACATGCAAATGATGGCACACTAACACACTGGACTATTACATGCAGAAAAAATGAAGGATCTACAACTGCATACATCAACATGGCTGAATCTCTAAAACACTATGCTAAGTGAAAAAAGTGAGTTGTAGGGGTAAATGTTCGAACTAGGAGTTAAAATGCTGATTATGACACCCTCAGCCTAGTCCACATGGTCCTGATTGAACATCTAGCTCCAGCTCCGGATTCCAGCTTCCTTCTAATACAGATCCTGGGCAGCAATGGTGAAGGTTCAAATAACTGGCTTTCTGCCACCCACGTGGGAGACCTAGTTTGAGTGCCTGGCTTCTCGCTCTGGCCAGGGATAGTACAGGTACATAGGGAGTGGGGAGTGAACCACAGAATGTAAGATAGTACACAAAGTAGCGGTGTGTGTGTGTGTGTGTGTGTGTGTGTGTGTGTGTGTGTGTCTTCTTTACCATACTCTCCCCGCCTCTGTTTCTCAAATATATTCTCAAAATATTTTGAAAGTTTTAGAGCAGAGTCTACTACCATTTGTACAGGTTCACATACACAGCTTTTATTATATCTGGGATAAGATGATTAACTGCCATCTATGAGACAGACATATAATTACGCAGCTGGGAAAGAGTACACAGGAGCTCAGTGGTACCGCTAATGTTCTTATGTTCTAAGCAGGATGTTAGGCAGATGGACTGTGTGAGTCTGTTATTATTCATGCCTTTTGGTATGTTTCAGATAATTCACAACATCTACAAGCCACATTAATTTGCCCTGGAAAGTGGCATAACCAAGGAATATCATACAACTCTTACACTAAATTTGAGAGCATACATGACACATTGCCTATGAAAAGGGCCCAAAGTCTGAATGCTGTTTTAATTACAGCTGGCATACTGTTTGTATTACGTAGTTTTAAGGAACCTGAAGATGGATTATGTCCCTAAAGTAAGGTGAGGATTCTCTTTATAATCTTGTTTAAGGAGCTTAACAAATCCCGTGATAATCTACTTTTTGGTTATTAATATTATTTCTTATTAAGTCTGATTTGCAATGCTTCCCAGAAAATCTGACCCTAGATTCTACCAAATAATAACAGCTCAGCCAACATCTACAAAATTAAACTTTAAAAACATACTGAAATCATTGAAAAAGACTATAGACTATAAAAGAAAGAATATTCTAGAAGCCCTGTATTTTAGAAGTGTTGATAGGTTTGCTAAAGCTAGGGCTACTTCCATCTTTCTCTACTCTCTCTCTCTTTCTCTCTCTCTCTAAGATTTATTTCTTTGTATTGGAAAGGCAGATCATATTTAAGGAGAGAAGGAGAGACAGAAAAGTCTTTATCCACTGATTCACTTCTCAAGAGGCCACAAAGGTCAGAGCTGAATCAATCCAAAGTCAGAAGCTAGGAGCTTCTTCCAGGTCTCCCAGGCAGGTGCAGGGTCCTAGGGCTTTGGGCTGTCCCCCACTGCTTTTGTAGGTCACAAGCAGGGAACTGGATGGGATGTGTGGGATGTGGAACAGTGGGGACACGAATCAGCATCCACATGGGATACTGGCACATCCAAGGCAAGGATTTAACCACCGAGCCATCACATCAGGCCCCCTTCCCCATCCTCTTAACCCCAACCCAAAGACACCCAACTACAGCTTCTACACCCTTCCACCACCCACTTAAACCTACACCTTCACCCATACATGCCATAAGGCCCATAGCATAGACCAAGGCTGCAAAGAGCTGAAAGCTAAACATATTACATTACATGTCAGGTCTCTCTCTCTCTCTCTCTCTCTCTCTCTCTCTATATATATATATATATATATACATATATATATATAATATCCTCTTATAAAATAGTGTTCAGTGAATCTTAGAAATTAACATGTTAAACACTTAAGACAGAGCGCACAGAAGCTCAATTAACAGTGGCTACATGGAGTAAAATAGGTATGAGCATAAACAATGGTCAGTCAAGCAGCAGATAAAAATGATCATTTCCAGGAACAATGGACGATCCAAAGAGGCTGGGCAGGCAGCACAAGCACACCTTAAGAAACTCACCTACATTGGCAAGTCTGGGGGCTGACCCTGTGGCACAGCAGGTAAATCTGTGATCTTGGTACTTCTAGGTTTAAGTCCTGGCTGCCCCACTTCCAATCCAGCTCCTTACTAATGCTCCTGGGAAAGCAGCAGAAGACGGCCCATGTCCTTGGGCCTCTGCACCCACATGAAAGTCTTGGCTGAAGTTCCGACATTCAGTACGGCCTAGCCCTGGCCATTGGGAACATTTTGGGAGTGACCCAGCAGATGGCAGATCTATCTGTCACTCCCTCTTTCGGTGTATTTCTTTCAAATAAATAATTTTTTTTTAAGTGTAGTACTGTTTTCTCACTTCATCAACAACTATCCAAATGTAGATGACATTGAAAGAGTTGACATTGTCAATTTTAAAACTCCAGATTAGTATTAATGTTTACTTTTGGTCAATGTGTTGTCATTTTCTTCAGAAGTGGGCAGTAATTTATGCTCAGTGACTAAACAACAGCAACTTGAGATGGAACCGTGATCCAATTTGCCTGAAGGAGAGTGGCCAGTACAGCTCATTAGCTCACGGAGGCTGACTCTCCCTGAAAACTGCTATTACAGATTATAGAATCTGACATTTCCCCAGCAGGTTTGACCTACTTTAAAAAAAAAAAGAAAGAAAGAAACTAATCAAATTCAAAAGGCATTCCTTAAAGGAAACAACAGAGAAACCAACAAGAATCAACTCAGGGATAAATACATTTAAAATATTCTAGAACATAAAAGATTGAAGTAAATGAAACGAAAGAAGTTTTCAAAATACTTTTTCTCTGCTCTTTTCTTGGGAACAGAGGAACTTTAAATTGTATTATTCCCTAAAATGATTTTATTTATTTTTTATTTGAAAGACAGATTTACACAGAGGAGAGACAGATACCAATCTTCCGTCCACAGGTTCACTCCCTAAATGGCCACAACTAAGCTGACCCAAATCCAAAGCCAGGAGCTTCTTCCCCATCTCTCCCAAGCAAGCACAGAGTCCCAAGGGTTTGAGCTGTCCTTTGCTGCTTTCCCACTCCACAAGCAGAGAGTTGGATGGGAAGTGGTACAACGAGGACACCAGCTGGCACCCATATGGGATGCTGGTGCTTGCAGACAGATTAGCCAACTGAGCCATTGTGTTGATCCAAAAATAAATACATCTTATAAAAAATTATTTATTTTTTTAAGAGGGTTGGAGGAAAGGAAGAAGAGGTGAAAAGAGATGAGGAGAATTGGTGGCTGGGGACGAAGAAAGAAAGTTGCTATTCTTTGTTAGAAAAGTCAGAAGAGAAGAAAGACTGGTGGCACCAATTACTGAAACATTACAAAGTAAGACACCCATGAATAAGCTGGTATGATTTCCACAATTTTTCAAACTACAGTAATAAAAATGTTCATGGAAAATCAAGTTACAGCAATTTAAACTGTGCTATTGGTATGGAGTGAACAGACAAATCCATAATGACAAACTCAGATTTCCCTAGTCCTTAAGAAAACAAGCCATCCATGGAACAAAATAAAATCAGAGAGAGGCAACAACAAGAAGAGATGGACCTATTTTTTAGAATCTTAAAGTAAAAAAAGAAATGCTCTAAGCACAAAGAAAGCAGTAATCAACAAATAAAATGTCAGAACAAGCCAATATCCTAATGGAAATGAGGGTAAAGATAATTAATGAGCAAGTGGCCAAACTTTTTAAAAATCAATGTCAAAAGATCCACTTTACTTAAAATTAAACAACTGCAATAGAAAAAATATAATATCAAGTTTGCCATCAATTTGTAACATGGAAAAAAAAATGAGCAAACCTGTTTTGCCGAGGATATAAAAAAATAGTATTTTTATAGGTTATTGATAAATACACAGAATATTTTTATTGGAAAGGCAGATTTACAAACAGAAGAAGAGACAGAGACAAAGATTTTTATCTGCTGGTTCACTCCCCAAGTGGCCCCAACAGCCGGAGCTGAATCTATCCAAAGCCAGGAGCTTCTTCCAGGTCTCCTACACAGGTGAAGGGTCCCCAGGCTTTGGGCCATCCTGTAATGCTTTCCTTGGCCACAGGCTGGGAGCTTGATGGGAAATGGAACAGCCAGGATTTAAACCAGCACCCATATGGGATCCCGGCATTTGCAAGGTGAAGAGTTTGCCACTGATTCATTGCACCAGACCCCTATAATGTCTTTTAAAAAGCTAGTTAAGGACAGGCCTTGGCCCTCCAGGTTAGCGTTCCATACCTAGATCTGGCTCCCGGCCCCAGCTTACTGCTAACACAGATCTTGGGAGGCATCGGAAATGGCCCATCCACATGAAAGACCTGGACTGAGTTTGCAGCTCCTAACTTCCTCCTGGCCCAGTTCTGGCCACTGTGGGTATGCGGGGAGTAAACAAGAGGATGGATGCTGTCTTTCTTTCTCTCTGCTCTCTACCTCTATTCATCTCTTCTTCCCTCCCTTCTACCCTCTCAAGTAAATAAATAAAGAAAATATTAATACAATTAATTGGGTTCCCTAAAAATTGCTTTACCAAAGAGGAGATGGAAATGAGACTACTCAAATATGTTATCCTTCCTTTCTTGTTCAGACCATCCTGAGGGCTGGGTGTCAGGATGGGTGTTAAACATCTCCCAAAGGCCCACATGTGAAGGGTCTGCTCCCCAAAGTTCTATGTTAATGGCATTAAGGTGGCAGAAGCTTGCTGCAGTTACAGTGTCTGAAGGTGGGGCTTTTAGGAGTCTGAATTAGCCTGGGCAGTTAGAAATGTAATCATGGTTAAATCCTGGAGGCTGCCTTAGACACCACCTGGGGTCGGATAATACACATGATGCCCGGTGCCAGCTCAGGACTCTGCCCACAGGGACACCACCACCAGAGACCAGGCCAACAGCCAATGCACCTGACAACGAACCTTTGGGCCGTGAGCCAAGATAAACCACTTTCCTTTTAAGTGGCTTCTCTCAGGGATTTTTTTAAAAAAAAAACTAGTTCTGTTTATTTA